TTATTTCAGTGTAAAATTTTCATTAAACGAAAATTCCGCGAAATGATGTTATCTTCTTTGGCGCCATAGCTAGGTGATGTCATAGGTATGCTTCCGGCATCAAACTTAAACACCAGGCGTTTTCTGGCTTCTTGTCTGCTTCAAAATGTAATAAAATTTGATTTAAAGATGATTTCTAGGTGCAAAAGGTGAGTTTTTGCTTATTATTGGAGAAATTACATGTCAATACATTCTGAAATTCAAAATGTCGGCTTCCTTAGTTACAGACAGGAAGATAGAGAATTTTACGCTTATACACCTTATCGCTATTTGTCCGCCATTACTGGACATCACACAAGTTCCCGTAAAATTTTGACGTCATAATAGAAAATATCTGACGCCACAATGGAAAAGTGATTGTTGTATGACGTCAAAAGTTCGAGCGGGACTGATTCTCGGGTCAAGCGGGATTAGCGATAAGGTGTATTGACATCCAATCAGAAACATTGATACAACATAAAATTGCATTATAATCATATTTTTAAAAGGATGTTCGCTACCCTTCTTTTTGACTTTTTTGTCAGATATTTGGAATCCTCTAGTTTTATCCATTTAGTGCCAATAAAAAAAATTTCCCGCTAACCTCTACTTTTCTGTTCATAATTTTTATATATATAGTTTGACAAGCCATTTATGAAAACCTTATAAAGTCCTTGTTATTTTTTCATAGTTTTTGAAAGAAAAAAGGTGGCAATGTTAAATGTATGAAAAATCTAGAGAGAATCATTTCCCGCCAAATTTTCAATTGATTATATCTTGAAAACAAGGTCACGGTCCTACCATTTTTTTCTGCTATTTAATTTATGTTATTTATATACTATCAATTTATAACAGTCATTTAAAAGCTTGTTATTTCTAAATAGACGAGCGAACATCCTTAACTACTATACATTGCAATTGCCTAAAAAGGACAAAGAACTGGGTGGTTATCATGACAACCAAATGCATCCTGTCATTCGTACGCAAAAACTTATTTATTATTTTACAAGAATATAGAAATATGATGTAGGAAATCGATAAGAAACCGGTGGAATGGTTTATGAATAAATAAGGTGGAAAATGTTGACGTCGGCCATTAAGTCCCATTAAAACCAGATACTAAAAGACCCTTAAACCTTTACTTTTCAAAATCTGTTAAAAAGAACTTAACAAGGTGTTTTTTAGTCTATACAACTGGATAATTATATGCAATCCCAGAGTACATGCAAATTCAGTATTTACAACAGAGGCTGCATTATGCATCAAAAATCGAACTAACACACCCAGTTGCAGTGGTTAGCACTGTGCGATTTAAACTACAGCTGTTCATCGATTTGGTGCCAACGTTTTTACTGTTCTTATCATAAATCATTCCCTAGTGATTCTCTTCTCCCGGGCATAGCAGTGGTGTGTTAAATGATGGTAATTATCAGTTGATTGAAATCTGCCTTAGTGTTGTCAGGGGATTTCAAATGTCGAGTGAGAGGAAGGTCTGGCTTACATTCATAGTCACTACGATGGCCGTTCATACGTTTGTTTAATGTTTGTTCGGACTTACCAACATATTGTTTACCACATTTACACTGTAGAAGGTACACAGTGTTTGTAGTCGTGCAAGTAACATTGCAAAAATGATTCATTTCGTACAAAAAGTAAAATAACAAAATTACCGAACTCCCAAGAAAAATTCAAAACGGAAAGTCCCATATCAAATGGCAAAATCGAAAGCTCAAACACATCAAACGAATGGAAAACAACTGTCATATTCCTGACTTTGTACAGGCATTTCCTTATGAAAAAAATGGTGGAATAAACCTCTCACTTGTATGACATTCGCATAAAATTCCATTATGTTGACAACAGTGTGTGAACAAAACACAGACATAATAACGGTAGGTAAAAATGTCAAAAATAGCGGTACAGCAGTCAACATTGTGTAATAATTCTAATCAATATGAAAACAAATATGTCAACAAAGAAAAACAAATTGGCATATTGACAAAGCACATAAGCAAAAATGAAAGAAAAAAATGACCATTGCACAATAAAACAATGGCAGGATGTATAAGTTCTGACCCACGCTAAAAGGTTATTACCAAAAATGGACTAAACAGTAAAGGTTAATAATTTACAAAGACAATTAAAGAACACTATAACACGTAATTAAGATGATAAACAACGTCAGTACCTAGAATCTATACTTCAAGACCATCATGTATTATTTGTGAAATTGATACGGAATATTTATCAACACTTTATTAGAAAAAGGACGAGACGTTCTTTGACATAACCCTGGTTCATCATCTTTCTGCTCAGACACTGGTGACGTTTTATAAGGTCTGAGTAGCAGCTGCAAGCTCTTGCATACCGAATTAGTTGGGAAATGTATATCCCATATGCAGGTAAAGATGGTATGAAGTTGCAAGAGAGGTGACCGTTAAAAATCTAGGTATGCAGTATATGCTTGCATTTCTGACATCTTTTGTTCCCACAACCCTTGCAAGAGCCTGCTGACGAAGAGCCTGGTTTAGAGGAAAATCATTTTTCACCGGTAAGTCTTTAAGGCTTTTGGGCTCGGGGAATATATTGGATTGTCAGGATGTTTTTCGAAATCTTTCCAAATTTTGCGGATAAGGTGTAATATTTGACAAATTTGGGATGGTAAGTCAGCACACACGGGACTTTTTTGATAACCCTTTTCCCTGTTTATTGTAAAATTCATTTCTGTTGATTTTGTTAGCACGAGAGAAACCTCTATCAATGTCTTTTCTTCTGTAGCCCCGTTTTTAGGTGACCGCGAAGTTCTTGTAAATGCTTTTTTTCACAGTACATTTGGTGGAGCAAATCTGCCTCATTCTCATAGCCTGGCTCTATGAAATGCTCTTGGCGCAGTGTTTTGGATGACAACTCAGGGAAGAAATATATTGATGTTTGTCTGTGGGCTTTCAATACAGATCGGTAAATATGATTCCGTCCTTCACTTTTGTAGCAGTGACAAGAAATGTGATCTTAGAATTAGAGATTTCATAAGACAATTTTATTGAGGCATAGGCGTCGTTTGCGTGTTGAATGAACACATGAATATAAACATAAGAAGATGATCATGTGGTATAATTGCCAATGAGACAACTCTTCACCAGAGACGAAATGACGTAGAGGTTAACAATTATAGATAACCGTACGGCCTTCAACAATGAGCAAAACCCATACCACATAATCAACTTTAAAAGGCCCCGAAATGACAAATGTAAAAAATTTCAAACGAGAAAACTAACGGCCTGATTTATGTAAACAAAAACAATGAACGAAATACAAATATGATATACAGCAACAAACGACAACCACTGAATTACAGGCTCCTGACTTGGGACAGGCACATACAGAATGTGGCGGGGTTAAACATGTTAGCGGGCGCCAAACCCTCCCCTAACCTGTGACAGCGGTGTAACAGTACAGCATATGAACAAACTATAAAAATCAGTTGATAAGGGCTTAACTCATCAGATCACAAAAACACAGACAGGACGTGGCAGGGTATTTATACATCCCTACATGAAGTTCTTTTTCATTATTATCCCACTTCATGTCAATATCGTCGATGAATCGGAACCAAGAGAGGGGTTGATAAAGAGAAATATCTAGAATTTGCTGTACTAATGTGTCCTTAAAAATATTGGCAAAGGCCGAGGCCACCTTTGTTCCCATTGCTGATCCATTATCCTGGATATAATGTTCACCATTGAACGTGATGTTATTGCATTTCAATACTAAAGTTAGAAGCTGGACTAAACATTTGGTAGGTGGGTGTATGCTGTTGCAAGAGTTACAGACTTTCCTCCAGGCTTATATATATATGTGTATTTGGACACACGGAGAAAAGACTTTGCGAAACTAAGATAGAAACACCATAAAAATGAGGTCAACTTATTATTTTTACGCGTTAAAACGTGTGCATGTATGAGGGAGAAGAAATATAATAACATGTCAGTGAGACATCAAAATACCACAATAAAGGATATGAAAAACATGCATGAACATCTACAGAATTAGAGAAGTTTTATATTCTTATAAGTTCTTTAAATTCTTTATTTGAAGTTCAATTCAATATCTCCTATTCTGTTTTCTTGTTTGTTTTCATTTATATTTTCAATGTCCTAGATTACGTTTTTATAATAATCAATACTACCGTTATTGTTATAATTTCATATAATATCATATAAAACGGATCGATTTCTGTGCATACCGGTATGTAATTGAAAAGATATATACGAGAGTTAGAATAAAAAAACAAAATCTATCTGCAAAAAAAGACACATCTATATAATAATTACGAATACTTGCAATGTTGTAAGTTTTTACGATTGGTCATATCATACAGTATGATATGCTTCCCATATTGACACAGTTAAATACTAATAATTTCTTTGAGAATGCGCACATTAGAGAGTACTCGGTGGAAAGAAACATACTTCAAAGCAGGTGAATTTGAAAAACAAAGCTGTGCATGAAGATAGTGGATATGCATATACTTTATAATTTGCCATTCCCGTTTCCGTTATTTTCCCATGTAATTTTATTGAAAAGGATTTTGATTTCTAGACTAATGCCTAATATTGCTGAATTAAGTCATGGTCAAAGCGGCCGCTTCAAAATTTATAGTTAAAAAAGATTATTGCAAGTTTTCCAAAGTTTATAAAGTATAGCTTTACCAAATATATTTCGATTTTTACCTAAATATAACAGACCGTACATTCAAATAGTGATCTAGTTAAATTATTACAATACACATTGCATACAATATGAATATCTAATCTGTATCAAATTTATTCACAAATCCATTTAATAAAGATTTTTTAAAAAATACGGGTTAAAATTCTAAAAACTAAATTTCATTTGATGTCACAACTAAGAATATCAACGTGCTAGTAAATATCCCTATAAACTGATTAAATCATTTATTATTTTGAAGTCCGTTTACTTACGGTGAACTTCTTTTTCGTATAGTACTCCACACTATATACTTTTTGTTTGTTTGCAGTAGACACGTTTCAGTTTTCTGTTTATAGTCTCTATATATATAAAAGTTATTCCATTAAATATATCACAAGCAAAAACAATAACGAATGAAAGTAAGTGTCCTTCATATGTTTCTTTTTATTACATGCTCCTTAGTTATTCCAGTTGACGTCAAAATACAGGCTATCATTTATGTAATTGTCTCCCCTGGGTGAGAAAACACTTCCATAGATTATATCAAATTGCTACCGGGTAAGATGTAACAAATTTCGATTTTTTTAGACACAATAAATTAATTATTTACGAATAACGTATAATAGTAGTACAACTACCAAGTATATACATGTTTTTACATTTCAGTACCATGTTCTTTATTAGAAGTATGTAGGCTAATCGGACTTCTCTTATACTGAGTTTTACTGTGCGTACTGTTGTACGTTTGTTTTTTCTACATTGGCTAGAGGTATAGGGGGAGGGTTGAGATCTCAAAAAACATGTTTAACCCCGCCGCATTTTTGCGCCTGTCCCAAATCAGGAGCCTCTGGCCTTTGTTAGTCTTGTATCATTATTAATTTTAGTTTCTTGTGTATAATTTGGAGTTTAGTATGACGTCCATTATCACTGAACTAGTATACATATTTGTTTAGGGGCCAGCTGAAGGACGTCTCCGGGTGCGGGAGTTTCTCGCTGCATTGAAGACCCATTGGTGGCCTTGGCTGTTGTCTGCTCTATGGTCGGGTTGTTGTCTCTTTGACACATTCTCCATTTCCATTCTCAATTTTAATGATAAAAACGAGAGAAACAAAGCATGAATCCCCTTTGTTTTAACTCAATATTTTGGTGGCTTTATTATGCAAATGTATTCCTATCTCATATCTAAATTAAGATCTTATTATATTTTACAAAATTCTTAATAAGTTGTATTATGAATATAATAACCACCAAAGCAATGTACTGAAAGCTGATTTAAATTATTCTGTTGTATCAGATGAACTAAATAAAAATAAAGAAATGAAGATGGATTAGTAAAAGATATTAGATTGCTCCGTAATGGGAAGAGGTTCATCTGATGATATGACCTCAAATGAAATGCTGAAAAATGTTGTAACCGTATTAATCAGACTACTTCATAAATCTTTTAATTTTATTTTTACTAGTGGAAATTTTCTAAAGACCTGGAACGAACGTCTTCTAATTCTTCTCCAGAAAAAAAGGGGGAAAATTTGTAATTGATCATTATAAACAATAAAATAAAAAGGTATTTGCAGCTTTTATTGATCTCATAAAAGTCTTTGATAAAGTTTGGCGACTAGGATTGTTTCATAAACATTTGAAACATGATATTCCAAATAGAATTTTAAGAATGGATTTTTTAATTGCTTGATTTGCTAAAAATACTCATTGACTGAATTCAAACCATGCAAGAAATTTAGACATAGTACTACTAAAATAGTTTTAGTAACAATTAATTTACAGAAAAAATACTTGAAGAATAGTGGAGATAAAACACATTAAATACTTTTCCATGAACTTCCGTTGTCCGACTAAATAATAAGTCATAATAATCTATTGGAAGTTGGAGATCGAACAATATAGTTCTGACAGAAAAAAACGTAAAATGTAGAAAACTCGTATTATATTTGTATATGGAGATAGAACATTAGACCTGGATATCTATCACCATTTTTATCAAAAGTGGACATATACAACTCACACGACGATATTTTGATTTATTCAGCAACTTAAATAAAAGAGCAGCAATAGGCAAAATACGCATAAGTACACATTCTTAAAAAATGAGTTTAATAATTGAAAGGGGAAGACAATTAATATTCCAAGAAAAGAAAGGTACTAAACTATCTGTAATAATGAGCAAATTGAAGACGAAAAACATTTCTTATTACAGTGTATTAGATTTGCCTCAAAACGAGAACTAAAATTAGCGTAACATTAACACTGTTTAAAAAAACACTATTGGTGAACAATAGCTTTGTTTTTGAGGCAAACAAATTGGCTTCCTCTTTCATATCATAGTGTTTATATATAAAAATAAATAGTTTAATTATATGAAACATACATAGTATGAACTGTTCCGATGATTCTACCTAGTCTGTTAATATTATTATACATGTATATGCAATAGTTCTTAACCATTTATTGTTAATGAGTTTGTGCCTACACAATGTTTGAATTTGTATGTTTAAAATTGAGAATGGAAATGGGGAATATGTCAAAGAGACAACAAACCGACCAAAGGGCAGAATTTTAACTTTTGTTTTCTAGTAGAAAATGAATTATAAGCTTTATGTAGTTCTTTATAAGGGGAGAAGATACGAGGGGGATGGGGGAACCAAAAATAAAAAGTCGATAAAAACAAACAACACCATGATCAAAGAAAAAAATTATGACCAGAAAAACAACAGTCCACAAAAACACGACGCAGATAACGAAGTTTGAGCAAAATGAATCCCACCAAACAAACGGGGGTCAAATTAGAGATGCACGATAAAGTCACGAAAAATATTATCATTGGTTTCAATGTAGCTCAAAGTATACTAATTTTGGGATTGAAATGTTAAATTTGTGTAAACATTTAATTTTTGCGATACATTGAAGCTGATATAGATAATCATGTATAAATTAGGGGACAGTAGGATATATGTCAACACAGTACACGACATCAAAACATGAACATCAACATAATTGTGACAAGTTTTGATATTCTTCGAAATTATTTAAATTCTTTATTGATCAAAGTTAAATTCAATATATGCAATTCTCTTTTCTATTATAATTTATGTTTTTATACCCTGTATTTACAATAATCAATATTACCGTTATAGTTATTATTTCACTTTTCGCAAGTCGTAAATTAAAAGAAGTTGTATGCTATTCTCTTGGTCAAAAATATAATAAAAATAATAAAAACAGTATTTACCTGACGGATTTCCCAATAATAATTCGTATATATATTCCTACAAATAACATTTGAGTTTAAACAAACATCTCCGTATATAACATCACTTTTTCCACACCAGTGAGACCATCCTGAATAAGTGAAGTCCTATTTGGTTGATAAACTGTTATTAAACTCTAAAATAATCAAGACACAAAATCACCAAAAACAGATCTTACTACTTTATTATGTTATCGTGTTCCTATCTTCCAATTTAAATTTACGAAGGTAAATAAAACTAAACTGTTAATTCCACATGAATGAGCAAGCTTATTTTCGTAAATGTAAAATGACTACATGTATTTCCGTCGAATTGTTTATTTGTTGTTGGAATGGTCAATAGAGAACGTAAGTGTATCTATGGATGATACATTGATCAACGGTCTACTTTTTATCGATTAAAAAGAGGGTGGGTAGAAGGTTGATTCATATGTTACTTTGTTAACGTTAATAACGGATATTTGACATGCTTGATTTTGTATTACCTATATACGATATACCCTAACGTATGAACGTTTTACTTGAATTGAAATGGATCCATTATTAATGACTTTAGCATTATACGTTTGAATGCTACTAATGAGGATGCTTGCCTAGACTATATCTTAAGCAACAATGGGATTCTGAAATCATTAAGTATGCAAAATTTTCCAATGTATGGACATAATTCTATTTATTTTATACCCTGATATCACTCACTAGGGGGAAAAGTATAATCGAGATGGGGATACTTTTTTGTTTGCGATTACAAGGAATATAAAGTTTTTGCAACATTTTCACAGATATCATAACCGATTTAATTCAAGTAAAAAGTTCATACAGTAGGAATTTAGCGACAAGGAAAAAACTGAACAATGACAAAATACTTCACCTAGTGATACAGGCATGCAGTTTGCCAGAAGATATCTTCAAATACTACTGAATAAGAAAAACTTTGCCACCGCGACTTTCGCCATTTTCAAGATGGCTTCCACAAAAAGAATACCTTTGAATTATAATTGATATAAGGTATTGATAAGGGTTAATCACGGGGTCATGTTAATTTTTTTAATCAATTTAATATGACCAAAATGACGCCTTTTTTTTAAATGTGGAGGCAATATATGCACAGTTCCTTTTCTTTTGAATGTCATGTTCGGGTAGTGAATTTGTGTTATGAAGTGATACACCATATACTTTATTTACGTTATTTTCAGATAAAGATCGATCTTATATCATAAAATATAATAAATAGGAAAAACTGTTATTCAATGAAAAATATATAGCTAAAATGCATTGCCGTGTATCGTTTCTTTTGTTGTTAAGTATAGATTTAAGTCGACTAAGATGATGATGGTGGATGACTGTTTAACGTCCAGCGGCAAATTAGTATGCATATTCAGGACGCGAACATGTTAATGTAATATGAATAGTTACCCTACTTTGTACTAGACCGACACGCTGAGCCGGATTTTTGAACGTGCTAGTTCGCAAGATAACAGTCTGCAGGAAGACATGTCACCTTCCCCGGACACATCATTCTGACTCCGAGCCGGCCAGTCTTTTCTCTTACTCCTAAATGCCGCGTTTTAGCGGAGAAGCAACGCATACCAATTTTAAAGTCTTTGGTTTGACCCGGCCGGGGTTCGAACCCACGACCTCCCGCACTCGAGGCGAACACGCTACCACGAGACCACCGAGACGGTTAAAGTCGACTTAGACAGAAGTAACATAGTTACATGTTTGACTGTTTGAACCATATAGTCTATTGGATAAAAAATATTGAATGTAGGCGCACAATGGAATTATGTAAGAAAGATTATGTAATAATTTTTTGAACATCAGCTGGTGTTTTAGGATACAAAATATAAAAAGAGGATGCAAAAAATCATTTTGTTAAAAAATATATAATAAAAGGTGCACACTGACATTTGTAGGAAAGATTCTGTAAAATTTTATTTGAAATCAAGTCACTGGTTTTGATGTTGTATACTAACAGATGAACGAAATAAAGAACTAATTATACCCCTACTTTGGTAGGCATGTGATGTCATGGAATATTATGGAAGTTTCATGGGCGCCGTCATGAGCTGGTGGTTGACCGTTATGGAATAGCTGTGTCAAAGATGACCACGGATATGTTCCAATTGTCATAGCCATTCTCCTGTCCTCTTTCACTTGATTGTGACATCACTGAATGAGACCTAACACCAAATTTGTACTTACCATGATCAACACGCCGGGTGTCGCAGCAGACTATGAATACCCTCCAGCAGAAATTGATATCCCCCTTTCCAGTTTATTGTAGAGTTCGTGTTACTCGGTCTTTAGTTTCTTATGTAGTGTTTGTAGACTGTTGTTCGTCTTTTTGTCGTTTATTTTTTTCGTTTTTTTTTTGTCATGATTTTGTCGGTCACTCTTTGACTGAGGTTTTATTCTCCCCTTGGTATCTCCCTTTTTCCATCTCGTTTTTATATCGTAATCTAAAAATACCATGTCATTGTAGCGACGTAGCGACATGTTTTTGTATAAATGTCGACATTTTGTCGTTATAATGTCATATTTTATCAATAAAAAGAAATGTTTTGTCGTTATAATGTCATATTTTGTCGGTGTTGCAATGACAGGTTTTGTCGTTATAATGACATACTTTGTCAGTTTGAACTATATTTTACGTTGATATAATGACTTACTATATTCAAATGACGACAGGTTTTGTCGCTATAACGATGCTTATTATTTTTAACCGCTTACGTATAAACTATAAATGGATCTTATCTTTGACATTGCACTTAAATCGTTCATTGGTTCTGTTTCAGTACTACGCATACGTACGGAAATATGTGCTTAATAAATTTTTCAAACATTGGCTAATCTGTACGTTTTAATTGGTGTTGGAAAACAACAAGAAAGTTACCAAGAACGCAAAGTTACTGCCATGTCATAAATGTTTATAAAACTCAATATAAGTATAGGGAGTTTATCAATCATATCTGAGTTGTGTTGGAAATAGCTTTTTATGACACTATTTCTGCAAGTTAATCACAGGCCCTAATGCCATTTAATAATGCCATGAAAACTTTTCGACATCCGGAAAAAAACCCATCTTTACAGAAAATTACCTTACACTATATATAAAGGACAAATCCAAGTTTAAAAGAATAAGAAGATATGGTATTATCACCAACGAGACAAATTTCGAACAGAGACCAAATAACGTATAGAAGTTAGCACTAAAGGTCACCGTACGACCTTCAACAATGAGTAAAACCAATACCGCATAGCAAGCTATAAAAGGCCCCAACATTACAAATGTAAAAAACTAACGGCCTGATTCATTTAAGAAAACAGTTACCAAAAACAAGTATTATATACAGCAACAAACAACAACCATTGAATAACAGACGGGCACATACAGAATGTGGCGGGGTTGGACATTTTTGCGGGCGCTCAACCATCCCCTTACCCTTGTTACCCATACACATTTCTCTTCCATGGTCTATATATGAAATTGTAAAATTTATATTCACAACTTGTATAGACTTGGCATGATTTAAAGCTTGATATAATGTATAGACACCTGTCTGTTGTATCTTGTCCTCTAACTGTTTTTTTGTTTTGTTTGTTTTTGACGTAATTGCTGTCTGGTAGATGTATACCCTACATTTCGTTTGATTCGCATGATTTAATATTGATTACTTTCATCTTATTAATGTCAAATTTTATAAATACGTGAAATAGAAGTATCTTACCGATAATTTGGCAGTAATCTCGAGAAACACTGGACTTTGGTGGATAGAAGTCGCATTGGGAATCACATCACATCACATCTCCTCGTTTTATAATAAGATATGATCGCAAATGTCAAAACAACACATATTCAATTTCATTTGTTGTCCTTCGAGATATGAATATTCTTAAAAAGAATTCGAGGAAGGCATCCTTAGACTTACCTCTAACTGTTTCAATAAATATTATGGGTTAAACTTATCACCCCTAACTATCGGTCGATCTTTCACGTGCCCTATCTTTTGTTTAGAACTATATATATAATAAATAATAATTAAAGGATCTTTTTTAACTTGGTCGTTAATCAATAAATACTATATATATTCCTTCCTTTTAACTTTTGTCAATGATTTTGAAATCTAAGTAGAAAATAGGTTAAATTTTATACCAACAGATTAAGTGTTAAGAAAACAGTGAATAAATTGGAACTAAGAGATTTACAACCATTTTGAAATTAGCATTTAAGTGTTCTCTTCTTCCAAAATTAAAATTGCAAATTCAAATAACCGTATGCGAAGCTATTCTCATTTTTCTCATCACTTGGCGTCCGTCGTCCGTCGTCGTCGTCTGTTAACTTTTACAAAAATCTTCTCATTTAAACTAGTCGGCCAAATGTAACTAAACTTCGCCAAAAACATCTTTGGGGTATCTAGTTAAAATATGCGTCCGATGACACCGTCTGCCAACCAACTTGTCTAAAAATAGAATATAGGTGTAAAATCCAAGTTTTGTCTATTGTCATGAAAACCGCTATAGATACAGAAAATTCGACTGGGCAATTATGTTCAGAATGTTGAGATCTACCTACTGCCCATTTACAAAAACAAACAAAAACAACAACTGTCAAACGACTAATTATAGGAGTTATTGTCCTTAATTGGCAAATTTTACCTTTTTTCCATTCCTGCCTATAATCTTGAAAACTATGATGATAGAAACTAGATATAGTAAAAATTAACAGCAACACAAGATGTACAAATAAGTCAACATGGCCGAAATCGTCAGTCAACTCCTTATTGGATTTTTTGCCCTTTAATGAAGTGTTTACCAATTTTGTTAGTGCTTTTGTCTAATATCTTGCAAACTTTAATAGATAGATAGACACTTAAAAAAAAAACAAAAATAATCAGCAAGACAAGATCTACAAAGTTCGCCGAAATCGTCAATCGACTCTTTATTGGAGTTATTGATCTTTAATGACCATTTGTACCAGATTTTGTGCTTTTTGTCTATTATCTTGAAAACTATAATAGATAGATAGACACATTGATTAACCAAAACAATCATCATGACAACATCTACATATAAGTCAACTTCGCCGAAATTGTCAGTCGACTCCTTATTGGGGTCATTGATCTTTAATGACCATTAATTTTTTTTGTACATTTTTTTTTTTGCGTTTTTGCTTATAGATCATAGATAGACACAAACATAGTCAATAAGACAAGATCTACAAACTTCGCCGTAATCATCAGTCGACTCCTTATTGGAGTTATTGATCTAACACGATGATTTTTTACCAATTTATTGCGTTTTTGCCTATTATAGATAGGGAAAAACTTTAAATATCAAAAGCGATCCACAAGGCAAGATCTACAAATAAGCTGATATTGCTGAAATCGTCGGTCAACTCTTTATATAAATTAGTGTCCTTAAATGACATATTTTACAAATATTTTGCGTTTTTGCCTATTGTCTTGAAAACTATAAAAAAGTAGATTGAAATTTAAATAGCAACATAGATCGCCAAGACAAGATCTACAAATAAGACAACATGGCCAAACTCGTCAGTCGACCCCTTATAGGGGTTATTGCCCATAAATGACAATTTTAGTATTTTTTGTGTTATCGTCTATTATTTTGAAAATGTAATAGATAGATAGAACCCTAAAAGCAAAAATTATCAAAAGACAAGATATGCAAATATGTCTGCATAGATGAAATTGTAAGTTGTCTTATGGAAGTAATTGCTTCTTTTTTTTGTGTTTTGGGCAAAAACTACTAGTATAGAAGATACAGAGAAACTGTAAATAGAATAAATGATCAATAGAAAATAAATAGTAAAGAACAATTTTCATTATAAATACAATTACAGTAGTCTTAGTTTTGTTATAATTACTTTACAAATAGAAATGACTTGCCTGAAAATTTTATACTTTTCTGTTTATTGGTTGATTTTTGTTTCATATGATTTTTATTTTAAAAATGTTTGCAAAAGTTTAGTATGCTAATTTGATATTATTGTGGGGAAAGAGATTGTACGTGAAAAACAAATCGACTGTTTAAGCTAAAAGTGCATCTATTTAAATGAACACGGAAACAGATCATTCCTATAAAAACACCTACTGTAATTTGTTTGTCGGCATAATTTAAAGTCATATGAAACTTAAAACTTAAAAAAAGTTGAATATGTTTTATGTACTTGAATAATTACATTAGATGTATGTTTCATTTTTAAACGTTATTTTGATTGGCTAACAGCAATCTCGCGTCATTCTTCATTTCAAATTGAATTTCATGAATTGTAACATACATGATGACACACGTTTCCACAATAAAGTGCACAGGTAAATTAAAGAAAAAAATGATAGTAATCGTGTTTTCATGATCATAGCGAAAAAATGTAATTATAAGTATTGAATGCTTCTTTTAGTAATTTCGTAGGGTTGTAAAAGCGTTGACCGTGCGTACATTTTTAGAATGAAGCGCTTCCGCGCTTCATACAAAATGTACTTCGGTCAACGCTTTTACACCCCAATGAATTTACAAAGAGAAGCATTCAATTCTTAAATGGCTAATTTGTAGTATAAAACAAGTGTACATGGACTTTCTTGTGAAAGAAAATCCATTATCTTACCAAAATCTTCCGAAATGTACTGCTCTGCTATGGAATTTTTGTCTTCTCATATACTAAACAAACGTGCATTGGAAGGTAAATAGTAACAAGAACAAATTAATAACCCAAAAATCATTTAACAACAGTTTTTGAAAAGTTTATTAAACACATGGGAACGCATAGAAAATATAAAAAAATAATTAACATCGCTCTTTCAATTTACTTATTTTTTACATGCTCCACGTGCTTCTGTAAAATTGAGAATGGAAATGGGGAATGTGTCAAAGAGACAACAACCCGACCATAGAGCAGACAACAGAAGAAGGCCACCAATGGGTCTTCAATGCAGCGAATAACTCCCGCACACGGAGGCGTCCTTCAGCTGGCCCCTGAACAAATATGTATACTATTTCATTAACTCCAAATTATACACAAGAAACTAAAATTAAAAATGATACAAGACTAACAAAGGCCAGAGGATCCTGACTTAAGACAGGCGCAAAAAAACAAACATACAACAGTACGCACAGTAAAACTCAGTTTAAGAGAAGTCCGAGTCCGATGTCAAAATAGGAAACAAAAGAAAATAAACAAAATGACAATAATACATAAATAACAACAGACTACTAGCAGTTTCTGACATGCCAGCTCCAGACCTCAATTAAACTGATTGAAAGATTATGTCTTCATCATATGAATATCAGGCACAATCCCTCCTTTTAGGGGTTTAGTATTATACCGTCATAAAATATATGAGAAGAACATAACCCGTGTCATGCCAACAACTGGTTTTAGAATAAATATGTTTGATTCCGATGCAAAGACCCTATAAGTGAATCAATATTAAAGCCAAAATATGCAATTTTTAATGACCTGACAACAGTATCGTAGCTATATCCTAAGCTTCTTAATAAGTCTGTTTAAAGGTTTTGTTAGCTTTTGAGGTGAATACTGACATTGTTGTGCTTTGTAAAGAATATTACCATAAAAGATTTGATGCGAAATACCCGAACGTATAAGATATGTCTGCATGTTGAGTTATATTTACGAATGATGTCCTTATATCGATGATAAAATTTAGTAAATGTTTTGACTAGTTTATGATATCGAAAACCCTGGTGTAATAATTTTTCAGTAATATATAAATTTCTCTCGCTAAAATCTTATACGTTGTTACATACACGAGCGAATCGTACAAGTTGAGATATGTAAACACCATAAGATGGTGACAAGGGAACATCACCATCTAAAAATGGATAATTAACGATAGGAAATGAAAAATCATCTCTTTTATCATAATTTTTTGTAGTAACCTTCCCGTTAATGATATAGATATCAAGATCGAGGAAAGGACAGTGGTCATTGTTAGTATTAGCTTTATTTAAAGTAAGTTCAACAGGATAAATTTCTTTAGTATACATACTGAAGTTGTCATTATTGAGAGCCAATATATCATCCAAATATCTAAAAATATTGTTAAATTTTTGTATCAGATGTTGTTTCGATGGGTCTTTGCTGATTTTAGTCATACATTGTAACTCATAACAATACAAAAACAGGTCCGCAATAAGTGGTGCACAGTTAGTCCCAATTGGAATTCCGATAACTTGACGATATACGGAATCTCCAAAGCGAACAGAAATGTTATCAAGTAAAAAATCAAGGGCAGATATAGTATCAAAGCATGTCCAATTGACATAGCTCTTTTGTTTGTTGCTACTAAAAAATGACCTAAAAGAGTTTGAACATATGTATTCGCATTCCGACTTTTTAAATGCCCATTTAATTAGGTATATAGGGTAGAAAAATCTAAACTTTGAACAGATTCAAAATCACCAATATATGCATGCAATTTATCAAGTACTTCCAACGAGTTTTTGACACCCCAAAAGTAGTTAATTCCACCATTTTCAAAGGCCTTATGTGAACAATTTATTATCAGGTTTTTGATTGTACCAAGTGTACTAGTAAGTAGAATAGACAATTTAGTAGTGGAACATTGACTTGAAGACGAAATAAATCTATATTTGTAAGGTGATTTGTGTAGCTTCGGAAGCTTCTGTGTTGATTGTTTATCAATGTCACGATCCGGTTAACTTGTGCAATAATGAGCTTGCGATCAACACTCACCGAATGAAATATTTTTTGTCGATTATACATTATAGATTCGTAATAAATGTAAAAAAACGTGCATATAGGACTAAGCTTAGTATATATATATATGCATGCATTGGTTCAATAATTTCCTGTACATTAATTTTTTTTGAGACTCGTCAGTTTAATATTTAATATTTTTTTATAGTTTGAACATGGTAGGTATAGTGCCCGGCTGAGATCTTGTTTTC